CAACGACAACAACGGAGATGATAATACCAACGGTAACGATAAGAATGATTCTGCCGGTGGTATTTTAGTGTGTATGAGTCCAATCCACCCGGAACTATGGGAACTAAATGGGGATAGAACAAACGGGAGCAAGTCGGTCTGCGGGGTCAGCAGATGGTCGCTTCTCTGATTAGTAGTCGTCTGAAGAGGAAGCAAAGCCATCGCCCGATTGAGTGTCATTGATTGCCGCTTCTTTGTTACCACGGTTACCATAGATGGAACTTCTGAAGTGTGGGCAAGTCATCAGTGGAGGGGGATAGGCAGGAAGGGCTGATCGCTGTACGGTCGATCGTATACCACTTGGATAGACTATGAAAGTGAATAGAATGAGAACATCAGGAAACAGGTAGCGATGACGCAAATTAATCTATCTGAGTGGTGTGTGAACGAAATGGTGCTGTTATGAAGCGCCACGTTCTAGATCTACCGACAGTGCGTCCGTCACGGGCCACCCTCCTCACCTTTCTTTTACTTTTTTTTTTCGTTAAGGAAACAGGAAGAAACGGACTATAAAAGCTATCGCGTTCGCCTTACCGCTGAGGATATTGCTGTTAGCAGGGTACAGCACAAGATCATGACTAAACGCAAGCGGGACGTTGGCCGTGGAAACAACAAATTCGCAAGGTGGCGACGGTAACGACGAATACGCAGGCATACGCAGAATTGCAGTCTTTTCACCGTAATCTAGGTACGGCAAGCGTTGACTGTGTCGTTGCGTGTGCGCTTGTGAGCTTTATGGGAGAGGTATTTTGTAGGTGAGACGAAAGAGAGAAACGGGGCAGACGAGGGAAGTAATAACGATGTGATGGTAAAAATATGTCCGTCGTGGTGGAACATACTGATGATGATGATTATGCTGAGAACAACAATGATAATGATAATTACTATTATTATTAGTACCATTATTATATATCTTGAGAATACCATAAGTGCGCCCGCGCGAGTGCGTTAAAAAAGAACTATATATATTATGCAGAGAAGCTCGGCGACTTGCCGAAGAATGTCGGCAGAAGTCCAATAGGCAGAGAAGTCAGTTGAGAAGAGCCAAAACAATTAAGGAAATAACTGAGATCGAAAATTAACATCTACAAAGGGGGACAAGGAAGAATCCAGTAACAATGCTAAAAAGAAATCGGCGTAGCCAGTCACAAAGTCACCCTTTTTGACTGAGTCGCTTGATATCATCGTACTTGACTATATTAACAACGTACAACTACAAGAAGGAATTGATCACATTGATAATGATAACAATGATAAGTAATGATGGTGATTGTAATAACAGTGACAACCATTGCAATAACAAAATCTGCAACAGTAAAGTGTGGACGTGTCATATCGAATCATGGTGACAGTAACCTCAATAGTGGTGGGCTTAAGACAAGAGACTTCTTTACAGTGGCCACACTCCCCGGAATCCAACGACCGGGTAGCTGACTATATATATATATATATATCTTGAATTCTTAACGCATACACCCCGGTCGTTGGATTCCGGGGAGTGTGGCCACTGTAAAGAAGTCTCTTGTCTTAAGCCCACCACTATTGAGGTTACTGTCACCATGATTCGATATGACACGTCCACACTTTACTGTTGCAGATTTTGTTATTGCAATGGTTGTCACTGTTATTACAATCACCATCATTACTTATCATTGTTATCATTATCAATGTGATCAATTCCTTCTTGTAGTTGTACGTTGTTAATATAGTCAAGTACGATGATATCAAGCGACTCAGTCAAAAAGGGTGACTTTGTGACTGGCTACGCCGATTTCTTTTTAGCATTGTTACTGGATTCTTCCTTGTCCCCCTTTGTAGATGTTAATTTTCGATCTCAGTTATTTCCTTAATTGTTTTGGCTCTTCTCAACTGACTTCTCTGCCTATTGGACTTCTGCCGACATTCTTCGGCAAGTCGCCGAGCTTCTCTGCATAATATATATAGTTCTTTTTTAACGCACTCGCGCGGGCGCACTTATGGTATTCTCAAGATATATAATAATGGTACTAATAATAATAGTAATTATCATTATCATTGTTGTTCTCAGCATAATCATCATCATCAGTATGTTCCACCACGACGGACATATTTTTACCATCACATCGTTATTACTTCCCTCGTCTGCCCCGTTTCTCTCTTTCGTCTCACCTACAAAATACCTCTCCCATAAAGCTCACAAGCGCACACGCAACGACACAGTCAACGCTTGCCGTACCTAGATTACGGTGAAAAGACTGCAATTCTGCGTATGCCTGCGTATTCGTCGTTACCGTCGCCACCTTGCGAATTTGTTGTTTCCACGGCCAACGTCCCGCTTGCGTTTAGTCATGATCTTGTGCTGTACCCTGCTAACAGCAATATCCTCAGCGGTAAGGCGAACGCGATAGCTTTTATAGTCCGTTTCTTCCTGTTTCCTTAACGAAAAAAAAAAGTAAAAGAAAGGTGAGGAGGGTGGCCCGTGACGGACGCACTGTCGGTAGATCTAGAACGTGGCGCTTCATAACAGCACCATTTCGTTCACACACCACTCAGATAGATTAATTTGCGTCATCGCTACCTGTTTCCTGATGTTCTCATTCTATTCACTTTCATAGTCTATCCAAGTGGTATACGATCGACCGTACAGCGATCAGCCCTTCCTGCCTATCCCCCTCCACTGATGACTTGCCCACACTTCAGAAGTTCCATCTATGGTAACCGTGGTAACAAAGAAGCGGCAATCAATGACACTCAATCGGGCGATGGCTTTGCTTCCTCTTCAGACGACTACTAATCAGAGAAGCGACCATCTGCTGACCCCGCAGACCGACTTGCTCCCGTTTGTTCTATCCCCATTTAGTTCCCATAGTTCCGGGTGGATTGGACTCATACACACTAAAATACCACCGGCAGAATCATTCTTATCGTTACCGTTGGTATTATCATCTCCGTTGTTGTCGTTGTCGTCATCGTCGTCGTCGTCGTCGTCGTCGCCGTCGTCGTCGTCGTCGTCGTCGTCGTCGTCGTCGCCGTCGTCGTCGTCGTCGTCGTCGTCGTCGTCGTCGCGCGTCGTCGTCGTCGTCGTCGTCGTCGTCGTCGTCGTCGTCGTCGTCGTCGTCGTCGTCGTCGTCGTCGTCGTCGTCGTCGTCGTCGTCGTCGTCGTCGTCGTCGTCGTCGTCGTCGTCGTCGTCGTCGTCGTCGTCGTCGTCGTCGTCGTCGTCGTCGTCGTCGTCGTCGTCGTCGTCGTCGTCGTCGTCGTCGTCGTCGTCGTCGTCGTCGTCGTCGTCGTCGTCGTCGTCGTCGTCGTCGTCAATCACAT